TACAAGGGTTTGAACTCTGGGCCTTGTGTTTGCTAGGCAGAAGGAGCACTACTATCACTTGAGCGAAGCCCCTAGTCCTTTTCACATTTGTTTTGTTTTCATAGGGTCTCACATTTTTGCCCAGGCCAGGCTGGAAAGTGAAACCTCTTATTTATACCTCTCACATAGCTGGGATGTCAGGCATGCACCACATCAAGCTTATTACTTGAGATGTGGTCCTGATGACTTTTTGGCTCAGCTGACCACAAACCATGATCCTCCCAATCTCCACCTCCTATAGCTGGGATTACATGTGTGAGTCACTAAAATAGGCCTCTAAATGGTTATTTTACAATTTATCTCATGTGTTCATTATTGCCAGATAAAACTCTAGAATCATGAATTACATTTCTGATAAGAGCCAACAGCATACACTAAAAATCCCTTCTCCCACAGGTACCTACAAATACCAAAAGGAATCACAGTAACAGTTGAGGCTGTAACTTCTAACTTCTTAAGTATCGTTTTCAGATGAGAATCTGATTTAACATATCTACCAAAAATACATATTCCACAAAAAGGACCTGTTTATTTCTTTTGCCAAAGCAGCTCAACTCCACCCAACTCCAAAAGATAGTATAAACAATCATTCCCAATTATGCTAGTCTAGGACATCTTGTTTTCAGTGTCAAATGCTGCTTGTTGTATTTATACTTTAAAAAGTGTTAGCAAGGATTTCTTTTAGTATAACAGGATAAAGTATAGACAAGGTGGAGGGGGGCAGGAAAAGAGAGAGAAACATTTCCTGTTCCCTACACAGGAAATGGGAGCAAAAGACTATACTTATTTCTTAAGGTGTCTTACGAATATAAGCACCACCATTAGATCCATTATATTCAAATGAAATAGAAACATGGACATTGTGGGTAAGACATGTATAGACATGGGTAGATATCGGTAGACTATATGCTTCTTGCTTTGGCAAAACATATGCTACACAGATACATAAGTGTATATAATATTTAAAATGTGTACAATATAAAGACCAATTATCTCTTTCTACAATAATTGGAACTGTAAGTGGCCTCTTAAACTAGAACCTTAGAATGCCAGTTATATTTTAAAAGCCTCATATTAAGAAGCACCATTTACTTGATTTGTACTTTTTTTGGTGGAACTGGGATTTTGAACTCAGGGCTTTGTACCTGCAAAGCAGGTGTCCTACCACTTGAGCCACATCTCCAGTTTATTTTGCTCTGGTTATTTTAGAGATAGGGTGGCAGGCCTAAAACCTCAATCCTCCCAATCTCAGCCTCCCAAGTACCAAGGATTACAGGTGAAAGCCACAGATGCCCAGCTGATTTGTATTTTTAAACCCAATAAATGAAGAGGCTTTGATAAAACTAGACTGATTTATAATATAGAAAGATCATTATTATAAAATATTAATTACCCAGCTCTGGCTGCTCACCTTTTAGAGAGAACCCTCATTGTTGGCAACTAGGTATAATAAAAAAAAGATCAACTTTTAAAAAACAGAAAAGTCAAATGTTTGAGCACTAGCGCACCACATCTTGGACAAACTTTCTGTACTCACTTTTTCATCTCTTAAAATGGCAACACTAATTAACTACCCTGAAGGATTGTTATAATGATTAGTGAAAATAACATGCAAAAGATCCGGCATATAGAAGGCACTAAAGAAACACCCATTATTATTATCTCATTACTCATAAGCATTTCCATGAAAAAGAAGACGTAAGAAAACACATAACAGGAAGATAAATCAGAGTCTAGGTTACATAGCGCTGCTAAAATGAAACAAAACACACTTTTTATACATACTGTAACACTATAGCTCCTCCCTGAAAGTACATAAAATCCAAAATTAGCTACTGATCTCTAATTTTGGAGCTAAATAAAAGTGAAAGATTACTATCATATTGTGTAACAGATAATTTTGTGAACAGGTGAGACAGTTTCACCACTGAAAAAAAAAATGCCAAAATTAAGGTACAAAATGATTATGAAAGGATAGTAAAAGACTCCTACCTTTAAACCGACTGCTATAAGATCTGTAACAACACTGTATGGAAAAAGTAAAAAGAGAAAATGGAAAACAAAGTTAGAGAACAAGTTTTTAAAAGACAGATAATAAGATTAAAGAAAAAAGAAAAAGCATTATAATAAATAATGAAAATAAAAATGTGATGAGTTGTGAAATGTTAATACAAAGAAAAACAATGGAACAATCTAGCAACAACAGAGTGCAGAAGCAAAGCCTCAACAGCAATGCAAGAAACAGTAAGTTATCTTTCAGTATTTAGAAGAGTACAGTCGTGCTTCAATACAGTAAGTATATGTTTACCTCTAGTTCACAAATCCAAACTAAAACTTAAAACCACCAAAACTCAGTTTTTTTAAATCACTGGTATAAATGATCACATCTAGAGTTTTAAATAAAACAAAACCAGTACTTGGTTTTTACAGAAATAGAAAGTATCTTTCAAATCTGCACTTACCACCCAAAACAACTCACCAAAATATAGTTAAGGCAGTCTTCCAGAACAAATATGTACAAGCATCAAATTTCAAATGTCAAAATGTTTAAGTTTTTTGATGCTCTTTTTTTTTTGATTTAAAAAGTTCCACCACATCAAATCTTTATGTATAAAATTATTCCTCCTAAGAGGAAACAAGCACAGACAAGACAGACACACACACAAAAGCACCACAGTTGGGATTAAAGAGGAACTAGAAAGATATGTTAACTAATGGTTTGTTGTTTGTTTTTCACTACTCACAACAATGAAAAATGACCTTTTTCAGGCTGTGAGAAAATGAAGAAATTTAACTAGCTTTCTGAGGGCAAAATTCATTGTATCTGAAACCTTAAAACCAGGGTGTAAAAATCCCTGTGAAGTTGTGTGGTACAAAAATTCATGTTTTTCTCATCTTCAATTGACAGGTTGTCCCCATACTTCCTATAAGAAAGCATCAGATAAATTCAACACATTGTGAATAATTATGTCATTGTTACTTCATAAAAATAAATGTACGACTGGTTTGTTAAGTGATATAAGTTGAATTGTTTTAAACAACCATATAAATTTTAAAATTTTTCCTTTGTAGACTTCTGAAACTTGAAATTCATTCTTCTAAAACGTGATAACTGATGTTTTCTTCATTTTAAAAAAAGTGCAATATTATCTTTATTGATCCTGATGCAAATAACAAATCAAGCTCCTACTTGAACTCCCAAGTGAACCTAACATCCCTGTATCTGTACCACTGTCCTCTATAGTTAAACCAATAAACTCATTCTTAGCTTTAAAACCGTAAATAAAGCAAAGGGAGAGTTAACTTCCTAAATAGTATCAAAAAGAAGTTTGCACTTCACAACTGTCCAAGAGTTTAACAGCCAAGACACAAAACTCAAGAGTCTCCTTTCCTTTAACTATAAATTTTACAACACAAAAAGCTAGCCTGCTTCTTAACATCTTAAGCAAAACCTTCTATGGCCGATTCACTACACATAATGAAATACTAATTTCCCAGCCTTCCTGGACTGAAAGATTAGCATAATGATATAAACCAGTGAAACGATTTTGCACACGTATAAAATGTAACTGAATAAGGTAACGTGAGGTAAGTCTTCATGTTCTCGAGACTTTAATTAAACAAAACAGCTTCAGTTAAAGAAAAGCAATACTTAAAAGAACATCACAAACATAATTTTTTTTAAAAAAAAACTAAAATTGTACTTTGGTGGCTGTCGAAGTGTGCAATCTGCATTCAAATGAGGAAATTCATATAGCAAGCACACTTAATATTGTGAAACTAAGAGAAATGAAACCTAATGAAGGCAAAAATTGTTGGTAGATTCTCGTGTTTCCCCGTAACATGCAACAATCAACTACATGGCAACATAGTAACCGGTTTTTACTTTCCAAGTAAATTCTACATAGTTCACAGCCAAGAAGCTTATAGAAATCTTGCCATCAAAAGTCCTTGTAAAGCCAAACAAAACCTCTAATGTAAATAAATGGAAATAGCGATCTTTTAAAAATCTTAATCACATTAACACTACCTTCGATTAACTCACCAAGCTTCTTCACTATTGCTTTAATCATTAAACTATATCAGGTCCCACCTCATATCCTTGAGTTCCCAGAGAAAGATTTACACAGAAAAGGTACTATGAATCTTAATCTTTTAAATCTGGGTCAATTTCATTTTTTGAGCATTTGAAACCTCCCGGAAAACTGCACTTACACAATGTCTTACAAACAGGGCAGCAGAGAATTCACCAAGTTTCTGGGGCTGGGAGCCCATGGTTACTAAGTCCAGACGCCTGGTATTACAGAAACTGGTGACAAATCTCGTAGCTCAAGTCAGGCTACCACGCGGGTCCCCCGGGCCGCCCGAGACCCCACGCGGGGCCGGGGTTCGGGACCTGGTCGCCGCCCCGACGCGTACGGACGCGCGCACTGGCCGTTCGCCACTCAGCGGCCACTCGCCCCACCCCGCCGGTAAACAGCAACTCCCCGAGAGAGCGAGCAAGAGAGCGAGCGGGAGGACGGACGCCCGGCCCGCCCGTCCGCCCCGGGCGCCGCCTCCGCCTCCCCCTGCGCCGCGCACCATTTTCTGAGAGGAAGTGTCGGAAGGGCGGCCGGGCTCCCCGGACTCGGGGCGCGGAGGGGGGACCCCGGCACCAGAGCGCGCTTTCCTCCGCTCCCGGAGTGCGCCCCCGCGGGTGGGAAGGGGCGCGCGGGACGCGGGCGCCGGGTGCGGGAAAGAGAGGCTCAGGCGGACGGCGCCCCCGCGACTCGGGGATCCGCACAGAGGCGCCCGGAAGCCCCGCCGTCGGGCTCCGCCGCGGCCGTTCCCGGAGCCGCCGGTGCGGCGCCCAGCTCCCCAGCCTCGGCGCGTCCCACCGAGAAACAGAGAGAGAGAAAGAAAAAGAGAAAGAGAGAGGAAGTGGGGTCAGCGCAGCCCCGGAGCGGCCGCCTACCACTTACCAATCCATGGCCCAGATGGAGGAGCGCACTATGTGGGGACTGACGGGCTCGCCGCGAGCAGAGGAAACGGGCGGCGGCGGCAAGGCGACTCCGGAGACCGGCAAGCGGCGCCTCTCTAGAGCCCCGGCCAGTCGGAGGTGAAAGGAGAGTGGGAAACAGGGGCGGGGACCGGGCACGCTCCCGCCACCGCCGCGCCCCCGCCTTCCCAGCCCGCGAGCGCGTCCCCGCCTCGCCTGGCCCCGCCCCCTCGGCGCCGATGCCCTCCCTCGGGGCCCGCCCCTGCGCTCGCGCCCGCCCTCGGCTTGACTCCAGGGCGCCCTCTTCCCGCCGTCGCCTCTCGGCCCCGCCTCCCGGCGCGCGTGCGCGCCCCCAGCCTCGCGCCTGCGTCCGCGGGAGCGCGCGCCTTGTGCTTTGCGCTGGCCTTCCCGCCCGCGCTCCTCCCTGCGGCCCCACGGGCCTTCCGGCTTTGCAGACCGGCTTGAGCAGGAAAAAGCTTTGAGACCCGACTCCCAAGAGCAGATGAAACTGTCCCGCGAGGACCCCCCCACACACACCCCTCCCAATACCCAGGCGGAATTGCCCCTGGTGCCCGAGGCCAGGCACGACGGCCGATGCCTAGCGCTGACTGTGGCTTTTCCGCAGACCCCGGCTCGGCAGCCCAAGGAAGTTCTGGTTCAAGGCCCGGGAGGGGGCGACCCCTGACCGTGCCGGGCCCGCCCTCCGAGGTGTGGTTGGGAAAACGGATAAGGTGAAGAGACCGTCCTAGGCTGGAGTGTATTTTAATTTTTGTACAATTTTAGGTTGAGTGCTTTTCTACTCGGCAGTCTAGTATTGAATTTACATAAAACTTTGATTGCACTAGTCTGGAATGGCCATTATAGTGTCAGCATTTTATAAGTTTACGCAAGCATTCTTCCAGGGGCCGGGGTGGGTGGCACTTGTAGGAAGGGATTATTCCCGTTTTCCAGATGAAAATATAGACAAGGATAGAGTGGTTTGTCCACAACTTTATAGCCAGGAAACGTTTAGTTTGCACCAAAGTCCTTCCCTCTAGTCTGAACGAAACTATACTTTACACATAGTTTTCTATATTTACATAGTATCTATAGAAAATACAATTAGTGACCACACGGTTGCTTTTTTTTCCCTTGTATAGTCTCTCTAGTTCTGAAGTTGAATGACTTTTCAATTCACAGATCACCAGAATGTGAGCTATTGTTCATTGTCCTCAACCAAATCTGTCCTCAATCAAACTTTCAATCTCCCTTTGAAAAGCAAGCAAGAACCTCAACCATCTATCTTTTCTAATTTCTTGCTGTGGCCACTACTAAAGAGATTTAAAGTGTAGTCTCATCCCATCAGAATTTATTGTGAGAGTAAGGCACTGTTAGGGATACACAGGAACTCAGGTTCCAGCCTTTATGGTGGAATGGATTCCTCCCTCAGTTCATGTCTTTTTTTTTTTTTTTTAAATAGAAAACAATTTTCAAACTAATTCAGTGAGGTCGTTTTTTAAAGTTCTAGTCTAACCTCAATTCTTTTCAAAATGTCAAATATATTTTGTATGTTAAATCCAAATATTAAGCTACATTTGTAAACATTGTCATCCTACATTGCTAGATGGAATTTTGAATGGCAACTAAGTAGCCGATGCAGTGTCTATTGCTGTGTGGGTTATATTCTGTTGATGAAATTTCCTTAATTTCTTTTTAGCTACACAAGTAATGTAAATACTCATTTTGAAATTTCAAACAATATTAAATATTAAAATGTTTTCAGTTTTCTCCCCAAATCCTTTCTGCCCATAATAACCACTGTGACAATTGGTGGGCATCCTTTTGACCTTTCCTATTTTTTTTCATTACAGTTCCTTTAAATCAATAAATTCTTTTTAATAGATGTTTTTGTAATTTTTTGTGCCAATAAAACTTTATTAACCAATACTGACATTTTAATTCTACAAAATGTTTATGTATCCCAAAAATACTAATATTTCACAATTTAATATTCCATAATGTATTTAACCTTTTCCAAAATAATGAAAATTTGCATTGTTTCTAACTATCCAATGTAATAAACAATGTTGCAGAAAATAATCATGCATGTATGAACATCAGGTACACACAATTTGAGGAATACATTAATAGAAGTACAATTGTAGAACAAAGGGTATATGTACTCCACAGTTGAAAAATATTGCCAAAATTATTCCAAAAAGGCTGTAAACAATTTATTAGAAAAGTTTGTCTCTCTTAACCCCATGCCTTAAGATAGCTAACACATATCAATATTTTTTAAAAACGTGATGTCTGAAACATCCATACTATCATTCTGAAAAGTGTACAGTGTAAAGACAGTGCATCTAAACAAAATTAACAAAATTGTACTACATTTGCTAAATATTCAAGTCCAGTTTTGCAACAGAGATAGATAAAAGAGAAACAATTTACAACAGAAAGCAAGGTGAAATCTTTGTCTTTCCTGTGCCCTTGACCCTAAATTCAGAGAACTTATGGCTTGAGCTCTATTAGTTTGTGAGTCTCTCTGATTCAAAAACAGTAGCTAGAATAGAACTTAACTCTTCAAAGTCCACTTTTAGAATCCTAGCTGCTCTCATAAAGTCACCCAGGTGACTTTAGCACAATTATTATGTTTGGTATACTGGCCTGCTTGGTGATAAAGATAGTAACATTTTATGTTCTAAATGTTGAAAGGGAAGACAATTCTAAATAGTTTCTAAATTTTCTAACATTTTGTTTTCCTTTTGTTTTTGTTCTGATTTGCCCAAGAATTTCCCCTGAAACACGTTTCTCTGATAAGAAATATACCCCTTCACTATTCTGTTTGGATACTTAACCTTTGCGCACTTCCCAGAAGCCATTCCAGTGTGCAGTGGTTAGTTAACATTTAACGGACATTACCCTGCTCAGGTAAGACTTCCTAAGGCATAAAATGATACAAAGATGCCAATACAGGTCAGAAATAATACCAACCATTAAGTGAGTCTGGGAAGGTCAACATTTTAATATCATTTTATTCCATGACAAATGCAAAAATCATGATCATTACATTATTCCCTAAAATAGAAGCCTCTGAAATTATACTGAGTGAAAAAAACCAATCTCAAAAGGTTACGTACTATAAGAATCTTTTCTACAACATTCTTAAAATGACTAAATTATAAAGAGGAAGAACAGATTAGTAGTTGCAAGAGATTAGGAACAGGAAGGGAGGGAGTGGAGGGGGATGGAAATGTCTGTGACTATAAAGGAGAAGCAAAGGAGATATTTGTGGTAGTAAAACAGTTCGGTATCTTTATTATAGGAGTGGTTATACAAATCTACACATGATAAAATTGCATAGAGATACAAGTGCATGTAAAAGTGTCAAAATCTAAAGATGGATGCACCCATGTCAATTTCCTGGTTTTTCAGTGGACTTTAGTTATTAAAGTATTACTATTGGAAGAAACTGAGTGAAGGTTATGCAGGCCTCTTTTTGTACTGTCTTTTAAACTTCCTGTGAATTATTATTTCAAAGTAAAACAATGACAAAAAAAAAAGAGAAAGAAACCTTGTCTGAGTGTTCCCTTAATATTTGTTATTATTTACTCAATACTTAAGCAATACCCAACTTCAAAGGCTTAAGAAAAAATGCGTGGGAGTATAATTCTTATTTTTCAGGCTATCTCACCTTGGTAGTCAAACAAGGTTATAATAACTGACATACACTGTGTCTGACACTCTCATAATTCTGTTGAATTATGAGCCTTTCTTCAAAGTCCTTCCCAACTATGTGAAAGAGTCTCCTGTGCTCACTGATCTCTCAGCTACGGTGAATAAGGTCCATTTTCTTCTTCCCTGTGTGACCCTTAAAGAATCGTGCACGTGAAGCTCCTGACATGCGCAGTGCCTGGTGCAAACAACTCCTGTGTCCACACTGAAGGTGCTGTCCCCTGTAACTGTCCTATAGTTTGAGTTTCCAGCTCATGACAAAGTTACTTTGGACTTTTTGGAGCAGTTGCCCAGAGTGGAGCAAATTCCTTTCCTGTATCTTTTTGTCATAGTAATCACTTAAGTCTCAGTGTCTCCCAGAGTTTTTAATAAAGTAGTCCTTCCTATTTTTACCCAGAAAAGAGTCTCCTTGAAGATTTAGGTGTGAACTCATGGGCATAGGCCAGAGAACAGTCTGAGTGATGATACTGCAGTGGCCTGAGAAACATCATTCCCTTTGAGCACCTACCTTTTGTCCTTAAAGCTGGTATCCCCGTTCTCTACCCTGAGGATGGCTTCTTAACCTGGGGTCAGTCATCAGAAAGACCAAGCCATTAGAGCATTAGAGTTTCAACTTGTAGCCCATCTACCAACCTCCAGGAAAGGGGTGTCGGGGGACTGAAAGCAATCTCTATAAAAACTCTCAGGGTGGAGGACACAACTCAGTAGTAGAGTGTGTACTTCCTCACATGCAAGGCCCCAGCACCAAAATAAACCCAAAACTCTTGAACAATCCAATTTGATGTGCTTCCAGGTTTCTGGAAAAACATACGGATGTACTGGGGGCAGGGTGGTAGGGAATAGGGTGCCCCAAGAGGACATGCAAACTCTGCTCCACTCCCACCATACCTTGCCCTACCCATCTCTTACACCTGGTGGTATCTTATAAAACAAACCAGTAAAGATAAGTGAAGCAGTTTGAGTTCTGTAAACCATTCTGAAAATTCTTTAAACCAGAGGAAGTAGTGTTGAGAACCTCCATTATGTAACTAGTTGATCAGAAGCACAGGTCTCAATAAGATAGGCAGAGTCAGAATTCTGTGGAACTACAAGGCAACTGGTATCAGCTGGAGCATGCTAGGCACTGCCTACCACAGAACCACAGAGCTTCATCTTCTCTGGTAGTTCTTCTCATGTAACATTTACAGATTTTTAAAGCTTTTAAAATAAGAATTATTTTAGAGCAATTTTAGATTTACAAAAAGTTTTTGAAGATAATACATTTGTTTTATGCCTTTATACTCTGTTCTTGCCAATATTAACATCTTACGTTAGTAGGGTACATTTGATACAGTTATAGAATTAATGCTATGCCCGGTGCCAGTGACTCAGG